GGCGAAACGTCTTCAAATCTTGGAAACCAAGTCCAGTGGATATTTTTTGAATTTTACGGAAAGACCAATAAAGGATTCTAAAAAGCACTGAAAGCCAACAGCAACAGAAGATTTATCAAGTTTTTATTTGTTATTGCTGTCATAGTTAGTTGTTCATAGAGGTTTTTTACATATCATACTTGAAATCTTTCATTTTACAGAGTGAATCAGTGGTTTTAAAAACGCTGTTTTCTTTAAAATCCACGTTAAAGCAAACATTAGCTATAAAGCTCCAGCTCTTGGAGTTCTTCAGTTATTTAATGCAGACACATCATTTTGCTGTTTAGCTGGTTAACAATAAAATACACCAAATTCAAACATTAGATCTTTATCCACAGGTTGTAGTTCATGAGCTGAGACATAAAGCAGTAATCCTCTTCCCTTTTTCTCTTGAGTTTAACAGGCTTATCTTTATGGTCAGAAGTGATTTTTAGGTCAATTTTATGTACAAACTGAGAAAATCTCTGTTTTCATATCAGCTTGGTCTTTGGTCATGCTCCCATTTTAAGGCATCAGTTTCCTCCACAAGGCTGCAGATGGGAGGTGGCTCATCCTGAGAAACTCTCTGCCGTAAGCAGCAACATTCAACATCACCGGAATACACGCTTCTTTTCTTTCAGGGACATTTCTCTTTTCCGCGGCTCGATTCTCATGATAAAAACCAAGATCACTGACACATTTAGTGGCCATATTTGTTGTGAAAATGTAGTTTAAAGCATTTCGTATGCGAGGTCAACTTTTTTCTCTAACAAACGTTTGTGATGCCATTAGGGTGTAATATCATTTACCTTTGGGAAGCATAAATTATCTGAAATTCTGGTCTTAGTTTAAAATAATGCAAAAAAAAGAAATTACGTTATTTTAAAATAATGTCAAATTTTAAAATAATGTTAAGTTTAAATAATCTGAATAAGGTCCTGTTTAACTTGCTGCTTGAGCCTCAGGCGTTTTGGGATAAATTGAGTTTTTCCTCTTAAACCACATTTTCTGAAGGTTGTTCCATAATTTGACCCATGGCACATTTAGTCCATAAAAGGCCTGAAAAAATGAATAGGAATAATTGTGATTAATCGATTATTGAAATAGTCAACTAATTTAGTAATAGATTTTTAATTGGAGCATACAGATTAAAAAATGTCTAGCTCCAAGAGTGACCCACTTTCGAATTATTCGAAATTGTAAAAATAAATATGTAACAATTTTGATTTAAGATTAAAAAAAACTAAAAAAAAAACATTTTCATCTGCCGACATGCTCTATCCAGAACTCCTCAAGTCACCTGGTTTCATTTTGTATAAAGTCTTCTTTAAGAAACCTTTGGCTATCTGAATATTAATCGATTAATCGAAAAATAATCAACAGATTAATCGATAATCGTTAGTTTAAGCCCTAGTCTTGTATAACCCAGGGCTGGATGACTTTAATCCATAATCTGTCAAAAGGCTGGCTGAGTTTCAACAGGTGGTTAACTTTGTCTCCAGTTCAAAACCTTTTTAATATTACTGAGATAATTTTGCTCAGATTGGTTTTAGTTTTAATGCTAGTCCAGGGGTGGGCAATTCCAGTTCCTGGGGGCCGGTATCCTGCAACTTTTAGATCCATCCTTGGTCCAACACACCTGAATCAAATGGCTGAGTTACCTCCTCAGTATGCAGTCGGTTCCTGCAGAGTCCTCCCAATTATCTGAGTACTTGATTCAGGTGTGTTGAACCAAAGGCACATCTAAAAGATGCAGGATACCGGGCCCCCAGGAACTGGAATTGCCCACCCCTGTGCTAGTCAGTCAAAATATTTCGAATAATCAGAATTGAATCCCGCCCTGGGCTTAACCTTAACCCGAAGAAATTCTACCCTCCGAAGACAAGAAACAGGTGCAAAGTCTAGATGTATTATAATTAAAACAGCCCTTGTCTTAAAGCTTTTTATAAAATCTTTTTCCATCTAGTTCAACATTCATTAGGAAAATAATAATAAAGCCAAAGGCTTTTTCTCTCAACTTTATACAGATAGCCAAATATCAATTATGCCGTTTCGGCTCCAGATTCGTTCCCAATCGAGAAAGAAGATGGTGGAGAGACGACATGTGGAGGGAAGGTTTCCTCTCAATCGATTAATCTCCTAATCTATGAGCACCACGGCTCCCCCTAGTGTACGGAGCACTTCTGCTACATGAAGCTAATTTGTAGCTCTTCTTCTCTTGCAGTACTTTTGCTATTTGCAGTATGTTTCCTTTGCATGCATTGTGTGTTGATGTTTGATTAATCATTTTCACCACTCATTAATTTGGGCCACTTCCCATCCAATCCGTTCTAGGAAAGGAGGATATACAGAAGCTCTCCGGCTGATTAGGCGGACCAAGACCTAGAACCCTCCTATCAAAGTGTTGTTCTAGCCAATCACTGTAACCCATGAAAAAAAGCCATTAAAAACCAAACCAACTTTATGCTCCTGCAGTTCCTCTTTCAAAGCTGACAAAAAGACGTGAAAGCAGCAGCTATACTACATCCTCCTGCACCGCCATGTTTGTTTCATTTAGCTGTGGGCTCAGCATGTATGTCCCGCCTACAATCATAATTCTACAATGTGATTGGGCGGCCAGTCTCTTTTGGGTCCGTCTCCAATGGTGCGAGTGGGATGCGATGCATTTTTGTGTGTTTGTCAGCAAATACCATTTGAATTCAGCCCACAGGTTCTTTCCACTTTTCTGTGATCACAACTTTTTTCCTTTGCAACATTTTTTCTTTGTGTGATTTTTTTTTCTTTTGTGTGTTAGTCTTGATTTGCAGAACCTTTTTTGCTATAAAATCATATATTGCCATATATCATATATTCTTCCCCCTTATCCACCGTATTAAGCTGGACTCAGATCAGTTAAAATTACACAGAAAAACCCAGTAAAATTTGCACTAAGCAGGTTGCAGGATATTTTTTGCAGAGATCCTCGACTAGTTGTAGCTTCCTTTGCAGAGATATGTGAGACTGGTAGCGGTGTGATGGGCCCCTGAGCGACGCTTTACAGCAGCAGATTAGTGCTGATTATATCAGGGGTGCTGGTTCTGGATGCTGTTTGGGTTTAAGGTGTTAAAAAGATGAAGATCTTAGTGAAATATAAATATAATGCACTTCTTGGCTCTCCTCGGTTTAGTTCGTTTGCATTAATCAGTGTTTGTGAGGGTAGGACTCCCTGGTCCTGGTAGCGATGAACAGCACTTCTTTACAACAATCGATGAAAACCGAACACTGTCAGGCTGGAACAGCCCGATGGCAAAAGGTCAAAATTAAAAAACAAAAATGTTCTGAAGTTAAAAATCAGAGAGTAAAAAAAGTCAGCTGGGGGCCGTTAATCCCCCCCCCCCACCTGGCTCAGGGTTAGTAGTGAACTGTGCGAGAACTTGAGTCCATACAGCTCTCCTTTCTCTCCGTTCCATATGACTTCATCTGGCAGCTCTAGACCGTCCAGTATTTCGATTTAAACCACATGATCCCAGAGCTCAGTGAGCCCCCAGTCTGACCCAGCGGGGACCCAGCCCCACCTACAACAGACCTATTACCTCCTGAAAGGCTAAACATAGGAGGATCATGAGGTGGGGGGCTTGTGGAGGATGCCCTGTAGGTCCTCTGGTAAGGCCAGGATGACAGCCTCGATGTGGGCTCTGAGTTTGGATAGGGTCCCCGGACGAAGCGGGAGCTGCTCCCTCTCTGCTTGGCTCTGCAGATCAAAACATCACAAAGGTGAAGATGTTAATCCTTGCTCTTATCACAAGGGATTTTTTATGCAGATGAAAGCAAAATAAGTTTACTTCAGCAGCATCATCAAGTAAAAAAACTAAATCAACAGGAAAAATCAGCTGCATTAGTTGACGTTTACACCTAAGACGGACTCAGCCTAACCTGAAAAAAAACAGACAAATAATCCAAGGAGCAGCAAGTTCTGTATTCATAAAAATTAGGTTCAAGAGCCTCATATAAAGCCTCATCTTCATCAAACCTTTTTGGACACTCCTTGAAGTACGGCATCAGGAGAGGTTGATGAAAACGGAAACATTAAAAAAGACCTAAATTATGAAAACACACTTTGAAGCTCACAGAGGTTTTCCCAAGAAGAGTTATTGTGCTGAACAGATGGCATTACATTTGCTGAATGAGGTGGTACCTTCATTTCTAAGGCATATTGTTCTACAACTATTGAACAAGTTCAAGTTAAGAGTGAAACGTTTTTGTTTAAGTAACAAACAAAGATTTCAAGTTTTTGCAGCGACTTTTTGGTTTGTTGGACTGAAGTGAATTTTTGTTTAGGTCTGCTTGGCCCAGTGCCTTCAAACAACAGACAAATTTAATACTTCGGCCCAGGATCTAGGAATGCAAGATATGACCCATCGCCGAGGTAAAACCTCAACATCTGACCCATCGCCGAGGTTAAACCTCAACATCTGACCCATCGCCGAGGTAAAACCTCAACATCTGACCC